TGGTGGGGATAGAGTTGGAAACACTGACCTCGTATGACAGGCTGAAGTTGGGAAGCAAGAAGCTAGATGTGTATCAGGCACTGATGCAACACGTAGCCAGGGACAACTCAGGCTTGAGCCTGGCCAGAAGAAAGGATGCCACGTGTTTCTTGAGATGGATAATGTCGATGATGTCTGATAGCACCATCCTGGCATGCCAACAGAGAACAAGCGTAAGCAAAACCATGGAAAAAAGAGTCTCAACTGTCATCTTGAACGTGTATCAGAGCACAGGAATAGAAAAGGAAGAGGGTTCCAGACTATCCCTAGAGAACCATAGGAAGCTAGACGAGGTACGGAGGTTTTATAATAAGAAGCTCGAAGAAGAACATGATGTTCACCGTAACCTGGCCTCGTCAGAGCAGTACTCGAGAATCAGCGAGAAGGGGGAATACCAATATGTGTCTGGAGTGATGGGAATGGCCTACAACCCCTTCTTAGACTCGGAAGCTGGAGGCGCCCACCGGAACCATGAGGTAGCGGAGCTACTGAAGTTTTGGACAGAAAGAATAATGGAAATAGACGCGGTGGAAAAAGAGGGGCCGAGCCTGGGCCTGATTCTTGAGAAAACACCAGAGGTGGTGAGCATACCGCGTTCAAACAAGAGAATTGAAGTGAACATGGGCGATGGAAATGGCTTGTTAACCACGAACTTGGGAGTGATATGGAAGCTATTAAGACCCTCCTGGTGTCCACATCCCCACGCGAGTCTGATCGAGGAAACCACCGAGCGAGTGAGGTTAGCACCAACGGAAGATGAAGATCTGGCAAAGTTGAGTGTGCTGCATAAGCTAACTTCACCTCAGATGCAAGAGCCAAGCGAAAAGACTAGTAATCCCGGGTCAGCAAAGAAATTGGAGCCGGGTAGCTGTCTGGATTCGACGTGTGGAAACGGAGAGCACACCTGCGATGGACGGTCATGCGTTAGAATACTGTCATTTCAAAAAGAAGACCTGGTCACTTGGTTCGAAGACATAACAGAAAGGGAGAAAAGTGAAGTGCAAATAGTAGCGGAGTGTTACGCGAGAACCACGGTGAATATAGCGACAGCTCTCGGATTCTTCTCGAGAATGCGTAGTCTGCAGTCACTGGAAAGACTAGAATCCTGAACATCATTTAGTGACGGCGTTGAGCGTAGAATCATGGCCCGGGGTGTTGCAGGTGACTCAAAAACACATCCGGAGCTGGAAGGTTGGTCTCGAGGCGGAAATGGGATTTCCCATGAGCGAAGCTTATGGCTTGCCATTGAACGCGAAATCGCTGATAGGGTCAATGATGGCCAACTTGTGCGGAAGTCACTACCCACTGCACATGGTGATGGTGGAAGCATCCAGCCAGAGAGTACTGGTGGACAAGGCCTTCTCAGTGCCCAAGTGCGTGAGGTTGGCTCGGATATCGCATCACTCGCACAAGTTGTTGAGAAAAATCAGAGGGACAGTACCAAAAGAATTGAGAGATGACTTGAGAGAAATCTGGGGAGAAGAACTTTTGAAGTTGGAGAGAGAGAACACAAGCGATCACGAGAGACAAAACGTGATCGGAAAACCTATGGGAAGTGCTCCAAACCTGGAAGATAACGACACGATGCATGAGAAAATGATGGAGCTTGAGCCTCTCTTGGAAGCCTCGGGGGAGCGTAACCTCAGGAGCATTGAAATCACCCATGGAGAATGCCCATGCCACTGTTTAGCGCAAACGGTGTGGTATCCAGATCACAAGAACCTTTGCCTGGTGTGGGATATGGAAGAAATCCGGTCGATCGGACTACCGGATCACCGACAGAAGGTGACGATCTTGGTAGTGAGTACGATCTTGGCTCTGAGATGGATAGAAGAGAATATAACGAAGTATCGGGAAGCGGGGACGCCAACGGCAGAGTCAATATACGCGATAGACTACAGTAGGAGACTCGAGTTGTTTGAGACTGCGTGCAAGGTATTCGCCATACCAACGGAAGTCAGACATGTCTGGAGCCGTTTGAGGTACTTCCCATGGTTTCGGGCGACGCTGACGTCCTGGTTGTACATGACAACGAAAGATCACATGAGAAAACATCAAAAGGAGTATCGACAGTTCCAGGCCGAGATTGGGCCGGAAGCTTTCAAGAGACCCCTGTTAACCCATCGTAATGCAATCACGACAGGATGGAAGAGAGTGGGTAAAATGTCTAGAGACAACACCAAGGCGAGGGAATCGATACTAGAGGAGGACCTGGCGAAGAACGTGAGCTTGAGCCTGCACAACTCCTTTTGTTTGAACCGGGAATCTAGGGTGAAGGCACTACCCAACCAAGCAAAGAGGTTGCAAGAACAAAGAGAATGGATGCGATCCTACGAGCAGCTGAAGGCTTGGGAGGAGATTGTGATTAGCTCCGATGATGAAGAGGAACTGTTGAGACAGTTTGCCGTATCTAGTACTTCAGGGTGCAGTACCTCCAAGGCGAAGAGTGCGAGATGAGCAGGTGGCTCGAATGGATCTTGAGTCTTGAGAGGGAAAGGGGGGCTTGAGCGTGGATCCGGGTGAAACTTGGATTCACGAAAAAGAAGTCTTAACAAAGCAAATATTGTTATTAATATACTATATTTATTATATAAATCAAAATGCTGCATGACAATTTCCTGATTGAATAGGACAAAAGAAATTTTAAATGATTGGCTTGGAAAGCAAGAATTCAAGGGTGCAGGTGTGTGCAGATTTTGATTGCTGTTTAGCGATAGTGTGAAAATTTTACATGGCTGTGAATTTTGGGGTGTAGATAAGCTTAAGTCTGCTGCAAACTTCTGTAAATGACCACTGGCACTGTATCTTGAGTAACACTCGGTTTTCTGGGACTCACTGGCAGAAGACAGCACGCGATGAGGACATCGATCTCGAGTCCGGGGAGTATGTGCCAGTCGGTCATATTCGGAAGTTTGACCTTGAGAGAAGCAAAAAACAATTGATTTTGGAGTGAAATTTAGTTTTTCAAAATTTCGAATGGAACCTGTCATGCACGATTTTCTCGCGATAACTGAAAATCAGAAAAGAGAAGTCAGAACGTTCGAGTAAAAAACGCGGGAAAGTTGCAAGAGAAATCGGTAGGAAATTGCTATTCGCAATTTCCATCATAGTGAACAAGAGTAGAGCTGTCCCATCTGAAATAGAGGACAGAGTGTTCCCGAGAGAACGATTATTTGAGCTGGACCAGAGTGAACCTTCGACGGAAAGGTGGACAACTTGAGTGTCCCAATGGTTCACGAGAAACTATATCCTAGAGTTAAGACTTGTCCTCGTTATTGAAACTGATAAACATTAAAACTCATTTAGTTACATTATTTAATTCTTGAGTTAATTACCGACTGAAGTACTTTCCCTTCTTGAGTGTGCTACAATGTGAGTACTAATTTAAAATTCTAGAGTGTGTTTTATAATTGTTATGTTGAGGTAAGGCGAGTTTTAGGTTGATCCATCTGAAATGGATCAAAGTTCCACTGTCTAATAAAAAGTGACTTAACGGATTGTTCCAACCCGGTTTTTAACGGCGTTCATGTATTTTGGGTATCTAGAGACCTAAGTATGGGGACGTTTCTAATTCTAGAGTGGGGGGATATTTTAGTAGTAGCCTTTAAGCTGTAACGGGTCGTAGTCTCATGTCACAAACGAACCGAACTGGCTCCGACCGTTCTTGAGGTAGAAAAACACAAGAGATGGTGTCCCTGACCCTTGAGCCAGTGGTTATAGGGCCTATTTTTCTTAAGCCTCATGTGTGACTGCAGTAGACGAATGTTACAATATTTGGACAACCCAGACCAGCGTTTCCAGAAGTACCCTGCAACTGGTTTCGCGTGCTCTAAACTGTCTGTAAAAATGCTGCAACCGTAAGCAACCGAGGGCACAATAACACTCATGAATAGTCTATGTGCATGCTGGAGCTGTAGTTTCTGAATATTGACTTTTGCAAACAAGGCGTTGATGTTGTTTATACCTTTTCTCCGTCTTTCATCCAAGTGGGCGGTTTTCTCGTTGGTGGCCGTCAGAATAACCCCCAAGTATTCGAAGGAGTTGGTGAAATCAATGTCTTCCCCCATGTAGTAGATGCGATCTGTACTCTTCAATCTGCCTCACCGGCGAAATTTTATGACTTTAGTCTTACCGACATTGACGTTCATGTTGTTGTTTTTACAGTAAATACCGAGCCTGTAAAGTGCCAACTGGATGTCAAACGGGGATGATGAAGTGATTACTACAGCGTCTGCATAGAATATGCAGAAACACTTACACTGAATAAAAATTTCTGACAAATCAGCAATAAACAGGGAAAACAAAAGAGGAGAGAGTTTGTCTCCTTGTGGTAGACCAAGCCGCTGGAGTATCGGGGAAGATAGATTACCATCATTAACGACATGTACCATATTGTGACGTAGGATATCATGTAGGACGAGCAGAAAAATGTTGGATACCCCCGTCTTCGCCAATTTTTGTAATAAATAGAGCGATCACTGCTGTCGAAAGCCTTACGGAAATCGATGAAGCGCGCATAGAGGTGGCCATTTGTTGCGATTGATGTGTCAATGTTCTCCCTGTGAATGCTAATATTATGAATGGTTGATCTACCTCTACGGAAGCCATACTGGACGTCAGGAATTTTTCCATGCTGTTCGCACCAAGTAGCTAGTCGGTTGTGGATTATCGATGTTTAACATTTATATATACTGTAAAATATATTATATATAAAATAAACTTTATTATATAAATTATATATATATATATATATATATATATATATATATAATATAAATTATTATATAAAATATACTATATATAACATTTAGATTTTGGTAATGAAACTGTTGTCCATATATCACAGCCGTCGCTGGAGCACCCTATTTCTTTCTTTTTGTAATTGTTGGAATCTTGTCAAGTAATCATTGTCGCAGATGCTGGCTATGATAAAGATCAATCTTACTATTACTTATCTGAAGCTATTTAATAAGTTTATCACAACAATTAGGCTAAAAATCAACATTAGGCTGAAAATCAACTTTATACGAAAGTTAAAATGTTAATTCAAACGCTTTCGCACAATATGTGCATCATCAGGATTGTGCAAAGATCTGAAAAATTGGAAACATGTTTAAAAATACTGTAAAACTTTTTGACCAATGAAAATTAAAAAAAACTGTAATTACATAATAAAATAAGTAATCATCGTTAACATTTTCTTAGATTTTTTAGTTTTTTTTGTTCTTTCATGATTAGAAAAATTCAATTTGAGAATACATTTGATTCTGACGTGAAGGTTTTTTGACTTTTAGCCATGTTATACATAGTTTATAATGTTAGTGTTAGTTCCCGGCTCCTGAATTCATCGCGTGTGTTGATCCTCATCCTTTCCCTGCAAATATGCAAAGCCTCTAGTGCGAATAGCTTATGAGTGTTGGCTGTTTGTTCTATAATCTCTGACTTCAGCTCAGCAGTACCGCGCACCTCCTTATTAGATTCTAATAAGTGTTGCCCTACTGGTGTTCAGCCCCTTTGCGGTGCTCATCGACCCTCGTCGCTAAATGTCGGACTGTCTGGCCGACATAGGTGGAGTTACATCCACTACATGTGAGCTTATACAACACTTTGGATCTCAATTCACGAGCAAAGGAAGTTTTGAGGGATAGCAAGCATGTTTTCAAATTTCTTGTTGTAGAAATTTTCTGTGCACCGAATATTTGCCGAACCTTTGCAGTTAACAATTGAGATGGATTATTTTGATATTGCATTGTAAAAAAAGGGGCTGGAGTCTTTTAATAATTTGTCATTTCTTGGTTCTGATACATTCACCTCTAAGCTTTTCTTTCCCTCAATGATCTTGGCAAGAGTTTCAAACACTACCCTGTCTGACCAATTTTTGGATATTGATTTTCAATCCATTGTTTCAAGTTTTTTCCAATGCCTGGTCAAAATTTTTCCAGTTTGAAGTACTTCTGAAAACCCCATGAGCCGTCCCTTCAATAACGTTTCTTTTGTGCTGCAAAGGTGCGCAACCGCTGAAATTTAGAGTGGTGCCGGTATCAGTGGGTTTTTGGTTTTACCCACATGTGACCTTTTTTCCTTAGTCCACGTTGACATTTAAATCCAAAAAGGCCAAATAACCGTTACTATCAAGTTCTTCTAGGGCGAACTGCAAGTTTGGAAGCAACTTATGGGCAGCCCCGAGAACTACCGCAGGATCACCCTTGACAGTTCTAACTATAACGTCCACATATCTTAGAAAATCGTTAACTCCATTTTCAGCCCGATCTGCTTATTGTTGTTTTTGCATGTAATGCAATACCATACTGTTTCAGCGATGTCTTCGTGTTCAGATTCCGATATGTTACCAATGATATGGTACCATCTCAAACATGCTTCTTATTCTACCCCTTTCGTCTAATATAACACCTTTTTCTGACATCCAGGGCAGACCTCCTTGTTAACCTCTTTTTGCGCAGTCAATTTTGGTACTTCTTGCTGGAAGGCGGGTTTGTGTCTTTGAGCCACAAATTGGCCAGTATTACTGCAAGTGAGGCACCCATTGCTAAGACGTCTTTTTGAACATACCACAAACCTTTTCATTTAAAGTGTACCTTACTCACTGCCAATTTCAGTAGTTTTTTCATGGTCTTAGTGAGATGTTTCCGGAGGGTTGACTTGCTCATATAGTCTCATCAGGGCTATTTCAACCGCTCATGAGAAACTGGATGCGCTCTTGAGAAACTTTATTGCTCATGAGAAAACAATACCAAACAAAACAGAGTAAACTAAAAGCAATTAAGCAGTCTCATTTGGAGGCAAGTTTTGCAACCCTTGGGATTTCCGTTGGAAACACCGTTTCGGGGTTGATAACTTCAAACTTTGTTAACTAATTTTTATTTTGCGTGTAATGAAAATTCATGAAAAAACTGCAAAAATTGTCGTATCTCGTATGCAATTATTTAGGCATTCATAATTGGAGGCCAAACTCGCATCTCACGGAGAAATGCTGACACCATCCAACAATTGAGTGTCTTATCTTCATTTCGAAGAAAAAAACACTGAACTCAAACTGGAAAATCGAAAACAAATTCTGAACCATTGCATTATAGATAGATAGAAAAGACTTGAAATGATATCAGTTTAGATGCGTCATTGTCTACATGGCCTCGCGTAAGTTTGTTGAGGAGTAATAGGTCTGAAACCTGATGCTGGAAAGACACAGCTAAAAGGGACAAACTCTCAAACTCTTTAAACAAGACGTGTATCCCGAATGGTTTAAAATCTATCTGGTAGCCCTCTTTTGGAACACTTCTAACTTTCTGAAAACGCCTAATCTTAGCAGCCATACAGGAGAGCTGTAAATCAAACTGGAAAGGAAATACGATCTATAAATTTGTAGTTTGGTCTGCCATGGCAGGGAAGAAGGGAGTTCTCGCTTTAACCGGTTGAACATGTGGTTCATATGTTGAAGGCAATTTCGTGGAAGACTTTACCAGCACAGACCAGATGTTATACTGATACCAAGATCTCGCGTAGACCTGATGTCTGAATTTTGTTGCCTCTAAATGAAAAAGAACATTCGGCGTGCGATAAAGTCAACAATACAGTTTTGTCAGTATTGAACTCCTTATTGAATTCTCCAGTATTGAATTCTTTCTAGCCTATTCAATCAACATTATAAAAAAAATTAAATTGTTAATTCAAACGCTTTCGCACATTTTGCGCATCATCAGGATTGTACATCATCAAAGATCTGAAACATAAAAAACATGTTTTAAAATGCTGTAAAACTTTTTGACCAATGAAATTCGAACAACTAAAATTACATAATAAATTAAGTAATCATTGTTAACCTTTTCTTAGATTTTTTTTTTTTGTTCTTCGATTATTAGAAAATTTCGATTTGAGAATACTTTTGATTCTGACATGTCAGTTTTTTGAATTTTAGCCATGTTATACATAGACTATAGTATAAGTGTTAGTTCCCTGCTCCTGAATTCATTGCGTGTGTTGATCCTTGGCCTTTCTCTGCAAATATGCAAAGCCTCTAGTGCGAGAAAAAAAGGACCATCAATCAAATATAACTGCATCGAAGTATTCTGGTCGAAATAAACTTGGTTGTGCTTGCCATTTTCTAGTAATCAAAACATTGTGCTTGAAAGTCTGGGTCTAATTCCTTGAAAAGTATCATAGTAACCTCGTTTACTTTGATGCTTTTGACCTTCTGTTTATAATAAATAAAAAAATAATGCTACACAAAATTGCTGAAATTTGGATTTGAATGAACTAATTGAAATTCTAAATATAAATTATTTGAAGGGGAATAATTTACAACTAAATGTGAGACATTATTTCCTTTGAAACTATTAATTTTTGAGACAGGAAAAATTTGTGTGACATTCGACCAGAATGGACAAAAATGCAAATGCAGCAGTTTCGAGTTTTTAGCAGCGAACCTTCCGAATTGGCGGTTTTGAAGGAACAAGAGCGTTATTCGGATGATTGGACAAATCGTGAAGGCTGAAGGATTCGGAAATTCGTAAATATTAAAAATTCGAATTGATGAGGTAATAATTCTAAGAAACGTCAAAAACAGCCATTTTGGGAGAAAAACCAAAAAAAAGACACAACAACGATAGTTGCGACAACGACAACAACGGAAAAATTGAGAATCGGAAACAGAAAAAGCAGAAGAAGCAGAGACCGCTCCGAGTTGCAACTATTGTGCCGCTACAATAGTTGCAAGGCTGTTGCGAACAACGGTGTAGGGTGTGAGGCAGCCTTCCGGAAGGAGAATAGGAGTCTTATTTCGCCGGATTCAAGAATCCGGAGGGGTCTTGGGATTTGGACTGAAACTGTTTTATATAAACATTTAGTTTCCCTAATATGCCCTGAGTTGAATTTAATTAACATCTGAATTCATTTTCCAAGGATGAGAAGCTAGGAGTTGGGGGGAAGGGTTGATCCATCTTCGATGGAGTTGATGATTTTTATCTACTGAGCAAAAACAATAATAATTCAATAAATAGTAGTAGCCCTGTTTTTAGGAGTGACCTCGTGGTCTGGGGATACTGAGCCCCAGCCATGAGCTCACTGTTTCTGCATGTAATTCAGTTAATTTGAGCGTTCTGGTCGAAGCCGGAGAACAGTAACGAAAAGACCACCAAAAGAACTGGCTTGGTAGAGACGGTGAAAAGCATGTAGAGCTCTGTTTAGACGTTGTCCAGTCGTCTTAGAACCTAGCTTTATTTTCCGTCGATAAGTATCTTCCGGGCGAATGTTACATAGATGTTTTTATGGCGCTCCTGGGTGTTATATATTTTTTAACATCATGAACGGCACAACCGTTAACGAGCACTCCGCGCCGAGCGGATGCTCATATTAACGCCCTTAATAGACCAAAACCGCCGGGGAAGAAGGGTAGTTTCGGAAGCGGAAGCCTTCCGGATTACCGTGAATAGCTTTTTAACCTAATTAAGACCGAAAATTCACGAACCAGGAAGGGTGGGGGGATTCGCGGTCCCGTCATCTCCTGAGTGGTCCCTGACCAAAAACGCTTAAAGATATATATAAAACCAAACAAAAAGTAGTATAGTACCCAAGAAAAACAAAAAACATAAAAAATAACCGAAAAAACCAAAAACAGTACAAAAGTTTAAAAAAATCAGTAGAAATCATCCCCCCAGACAAGATGTGATCCGACCCTCCCATTTGTTGTTGACAGATATATTGTTGTTATAGGCATTTATATCAATCAGATCGTTACGATCATTTTTGTAGCCCGTTTTTGAGGCTTGTACTGTAGGGTTGTTTGAGTATTTAAGCACGTTAATTCTAATTTGCGCTCAATCCGGGAAGGGTCTGCTGATTTGCGCTCAATCCGGAGGGGTCTTGGGAGAAGATTGATCCGGCAAGCAGTACAAGGAGCGACAAGAAGTGGCTCAACGACAACAACAATCGACTGTTGGGTAACGTTAACAAGTTTTGTATCCCTTTTGGTAC